GAACGGTTTTCGCTAATTGCCAATAGAACAAATAAAATATATTAGTGATCAAAGATAAGTCCTATTTCAAATAAATATTATTGTTAAATAAATTGTTAGATAATATTACCGTAATTGACCTATTGAAACTGTGTAATAATCACAACYATATCCTCGGATTTTCGGCCCCTTCCCGTGTTTTTAATTTTTACATTTTCATACCTTGAATGCGGGATTGGTAAATTGAGTCCCAAATGACCCTAACTCGGTAAATTGAATCCCGGGGAAAAATAGGTAGTAGGTAAATTGAATCCCGGAAGTAGTAAGTAATATGAGTCCCAGGGAAAAACGATTTATATGCATTTAAAATTTATAAATACGCAAAATTTTTATCTGTGATTTGTGGACATTCATTGACTGCATGTATATGATTTTGAAAATAGCAACATGCATTTTTATTAATTATATAATTATTTTTTTCCCCAACGATAAAATAACGATAYACWSTTAACAATACCAAAGCACTCACAGTCAATAAAAGTCGATAACTTTGTAACATCGTACCTTCGATAAGGAACAAAACCTAAGGGAGCAAATTACCAAATACACCAGTCATGTTATTACTCGATTTGAGTTTATTAAATCAATATCAATGAAGTTTTTACCAAGTACATAATATTCATAGGTATATATATTATAATATAATAATAATAATAATAATAATTTTTAACGATAATAATTTTTTTTTTTTTGATTAATTTGTAAATAAATGGAGTGTATAATAATATGATGTAATGTATAATAATAATGACATTTATTATTTATTTTTTAAATTAGTTTATATTTTYAATCAATATAAATCTAAATATTATATCCTTATATAAATAGCTTAATATAAGTAAAAATATTTACTTACTACCAATTTTTTTCCGGGACTCAACTAACCTACTACCTGTTTTTCCAGGGACTCAATTTACCTAGCCCCCCTGAATGCATCCACAATGTAATCGACAAATTGTATTCAATTGCCGTATTGCGTCCTCGGTCCACAGCTAAATATAGTATAGTAATCTAACGTATACGTATTTACACTAATAAACTACCTATTCTGTTAAAAAGTTTTAAATATAACACTAATACTATATAAAGGTAAATAAGTAAGTCTTACATATTTAGCAAGGTGGTACAGTGGGGAAGCAGCATTTTGCTTCAATTTCGGTATTAACTAAGCATGCATTTTACTAATTTATGGTTAATAAGCGAAAGTGTACTAAGACAGTTAACTGATAAGTGAAGTAGTTCTATCATGGATAATCAAAACTTTAAATTTTTTAAAAATTTCATTGACGGATATAAAATATTAAACATAAACGAATTTAATATTAAATGTGTAGATTGGAATTTGTTAAAATAATGGCATTTAAATTTTAAACACTAGACTATAATCTATAAATTAGGACATTCAC